GATCTCTCAGATAGATGCGACATAAACCATTTAAAACAACACCAGTAATCCCAAACAAGTCCTTCAGCCTATTCATCAGGATGCTGTGATCAACAGAATCAAAAGCAGAGCTGAGATCCAACAGAACCAGAACGGTGTACTGGAGTCTGCTGCCATCAGAGACACTTTAAGCAAAGCGGTTTCAGTGGAGTGTAATGTGCAGAACATTGTTCTTCTCCAAAACGTTGTTCAGTTGTTCTGCAACTGTTTTTTCCAAGATCTTTGACACCAACGGTCGTTTTGATGTTGGCCTGTAACTGCTTGGAAGAGATGGGTCCACATTTGGATTCTTTAATATTAGTTCAGCTTGTTTAAAATAGCTGGAAACTGAGCCAGTATGAAGAGAAGTATTAATTATTTCCAGAATACAGAGGTCAGTCGAGTCAAACACACTAATGAAAAATGATGGAGGAAGTACATATGGAAGATGATGGAGAAATATTTGACCTGACGGCAGCGACCTTATTAACAAAATAGTTTAAAAAGTCATTACAATCAGATGTAGTATAGACTGTGTGTGTCTCTGTGTGTGTACTTGTTTAGACATCTTTGTGGGGACCACAAATTGGGATGTTATTGTTCTTATGGGGACAAAATGCCGTCTCCACGAGTTTGAAGGTGTTTTTGAGACTCAACACGTGGTTTTAGTGTCAGGGTTACACTTGGGTTATGGTTAGGGTCAGGGTTAGGCATTCACTTGTGATGGTTAAGGTAGGCGGCTAGTGTGTGTGTGTGTGTGTGTGTGTGTGTGTGTAGATCTGTCAGATGAAGAAGCTCTCAGAGAGACGCGTGTCAGAGACGGGAGGTTTGGACACTGATGCAAAGGGAAAGGAGAGAAAGTCTGATATTTGTGAGCACTGCTAAAAACAAACTTATAAATGTTGAGACTTCTCTTAATTAGAAGTGTTTACCAAAAGTCTCGATGTCACTTCAGGGTTTTTCTGATTTTCCTGCTACTTCCTGTCGTAGAATCTTTGTGCAGATGCTTAGTATGCCAGCTAATCTGTGCCGCTGTAATAATTTATGAGACATTAAGCCAGAGACAACATTTGTAGACGTGTTGATTCATCCAAAGCATTTTATTTAGCAAACTAATGATAATAACTTGGCCGCTGCAACAAGCGTCGAAAACTGGAAGTGTCCTCGAGCGCGTGTCGACGAGAATTAGAAAGTAGACGTGTCAAAAGTTGCATAAGTAATAGCTGTGTGTTAGAGCGCATTAGAGTGACAGCTGTTTTCTATTTTGGCTTCAGTCAGTGCGGTTATTAGCAGCGGGTTCTCTTAGGAATAGCTTTCATTTGAACTTGAATCGCACTAATGGCTCTAAATAAATGATGTTATGATTTATTGATGAAGTGATTCTCTGAGCTGGGTTCGTTTATGGCCCATTGTTATTCCCATTCCTTCTCCCTCTTAACTCTTTTTCCACTCCTCTGCCTTTGTCTCCTGCTCTGTTTTTCCTCTCTCGTTATTCTTTTCTGCAGAATGTAAATCCCACCGTGGCCCAAGACTGGGTGTCAGGACTCCAGAGGCTGATCCTGAAGAAGGAGGAGGAGATCAGGGCAGCTGACCGGTGTAGGATCCAGCTCCAGCTGCCTGGCAAACAAGACAAGTTTGTGCTTTTCTCACATTTGTAGCTTCAGGCTTCAATGTCTCGATCCTCCTCACCCCCCCAGGAGTTCATGTTTATCCTAGGTTTGCCTTTATCCCCCTTTACCCTGCTTTCCCCGTCTCCCCCCCCTCATCTCTGGATGTATTTCGAGCCTGTTTGGATAAACAGGTTTCTGCACCAGCTCTAATCTGAGGCATGAATCACAGCAGTGGAAATGTGCATCAGTGTGCCCAGCTGCTGCTGAATACAAATGCTCATGTCATACGTCTACACGCCGTCTTATAGTCTGCACGTGGCGTCCCAAGGGTGCACCTTGTTTTGGCTTTTTCACATTCCCTGTGAGCGTAACAGTTTTCTGGCTCGCCCTCTCGCTTTCTCCCGACTACATTTAGCCGGTGAGATTATCCATGGGTATGTTTGGAAAGGCAGCTGTAGCTCTCTAATCCCTCCCCTCGTTTCTCAGAAACACGACAGCAGTGAGCCCTCCACCCGCACACAGCAGGAATATATA